AGCAGAATTAGACTGAATTAGGACAAGAACAGTGAAGTTTTGTCAAGGACATTGGAAGAAGAAATGTGATATTTATGATTAGAATGATATTAGTAGGAGCAATTATGTATCATAGATTACACAAAGCATTTGACAAGGCATGGCACAAGGATCTATTTGAACTCTTAGGAAACTAGAAATATGTGGAAAGGATGTTATACTGGTAGGAAACTGCTTGAATATGGATAGAAAACAAACTGAATAGGTATATAAAAATAGAAATAGGTGTAAGACAAGAATATGTCTTCTCTTCTTATCTATTCAACCCCTACAGTAAGGTTATCCTATGAGAATTGGAGACCTTGCCAGGATTTATTATTGAGGGATGCAATCTTATAATATAAAAAATGCAGATGACACTATGTTGATGGCAGACACAGAAAGAAAACTTCAGGACTTTCTAGAGAGGGTTGTGATGAAAAACAAGAAAAAGGATTGGTCATTTAAACATCTATGCTGATGATACAATGATATATGGTCACACCTCTAAAACTCTTGATGATCAGAGATTGGCAGCTGACCTCTTTTCTGATCCAACAATAACTTCCCAGTAGGGAAAAAAAACCTGGCTGGTTACATTCAATGTCTTCAAAACCAAACTGATTACTTTGCATAACTGCTGATCAGACTCTGAACTACTGCCACATATGATGAACAGATATCCCCCTTGAGGAGGCTCTGTGCCTTGAGAGAATATAACTTGCACCCAATCTCAAGTGGAACTTCTATATACGATCCATCACTAAAGGTGAAGGTAAAATGATTAGCTCCCTGTACCACTCTAGTAAGTACCTGACTCTTCATGCTATCTTCTACCTTTATAAAAGCCAGGTCAGGCAAAAATGGAGTGCTGTTGCCATATTTGGGTGGGAGCTGTCCAGTCCTCACTTTTCACTCCTTGTTGGAGAAGAATTATTTTACACCCTCCAACCCTCTGTCTCACAGGTGGGATGTGGTGAGACTCTCATTGCTCTATTGCTACCACCATGAAAAGTGCTCAGATGAACTACATTCTTTAGTTCACCAATGCCACTTACATAGTAGCAAACCACCTACATTCCCTCTGTGTTTCATCAGTGAGAAGTAAGTTCCACTTAAACAGCTTCTTCCTACAAACCACTACCCTGTGAAACAGACTCCTAAGAGGATGTTTCTTTGATTGCTACAATCTTCACTTGTTGAAGTTTATCTTCACCTCCTATACTACCCCTTAATTATAACCTTTCTAAAAAAATGTGGCCCCCAGGCCTTATATTTGAAAAACAACCATACTTAAAAAAAAATAAAATCTAAGAAAATAGAAAATATGGTGGTCAATAACAGAAAAAGCCCGAGATTTGAACTACAAATTTGAGATGTGGATATAAAACCAGTACAGAAATTTAAATATCTGGGGAGTGTTTTAACAGAGGATTGAAATGCAACAGAAATCTGAATGTGCATCAGATTAGTGAAAAATGCATTCTAAAAACTAAACAAAGTAATAAGCAGCAAGAAAATTTATTTAGAACAAAGAAAAGGTTGTTGAATTGCTATGTGATATCAATTCTCTTGTATGGCAGTGACTGCTGGATAAACTTTTTACATATGAAGAGGAAAAGGGATGTGGCAGAAATGTGGGGCAGCTGCAGTTTATTGGACACATAATGAGGAAGGAGGACTTGGAAAACTTAATTTTCTCAGGACATATTGAGGGCAAGAGAGATGTGGAAGGTAGCGGAACACCTACCTGACAAACTTGTATGAATTGAGGGCAGGAGGCTTGGCAGGGAGAGAAACACTACCAAGGGCAATGAGGGATAGGAAATTGTGGAAGCCATAATCACCTATGGTCCATAGAAGAGAAGAAAATATACATTTTTCATCACTTGCCATTAATTTGTGTTATAATGAGCATTTTGTTGTGAAAGAAAGGAATAACAAGGATTAAATTTTTAACAGTGTATTCATCAAACATACATGAGATATTTATAATTGTTCAAAAATTGGCAAAAATTGTGAATATGTCATTTTTGGTTACTGCTTGTCAGGAAAGTGATTAAGTGTAAGGGTGTTGTCAGTAGTGCCAAGAGTTGACCAATTTCTCCGGTTGGTTTGACTGAGGTCACAGTTGGGGTCATAGGATAGATCAAGTTAAAAAGAAAAACAAAAACATATTGTACTTTTCATTCATAGTTTTTTTAATATTTATTTCAATTCTAACAAGTGAGGAGTCATAAATTAAATGCCATGTTAACAGAAACATGGTTTGTTTTTCTTTTAACAATGTAAAAAAAATGCAATATCTTTTTAAATTATTTTGGTTTATGTAGTTGAAGTTTAATCCATTAAAAGTTAATAGACTAAGAATTAAAAGTTTGATGAAATTAATTTCACTTTTAAAAACTGAAATAAATGTTATACTTTTAATTTTTAGTCAATTTTGCTTAATAAAACTTCAACTATCTAAACAAAAAAATAAAACATTGCATTGTTTTACTACTGTGAAAACTTGTAAATTGAAAAAATGCCCATTTTTGAATTTTAAATAAAGTTTCTGCACTTAAAAAAATATATATTAATTTTCAATTTTCTTTTAAGTTTCTGTTCGATATTTCCAGAAAAAAATGGAATGCATTGGAATTATTTCAATTTATTTATCTATTTTATAATTTATGAAAAGTAATGGTTTTATATCCATATTAAAACTAGGCCTATGATAAAAAAAAAATTGGTTCACTTATTTAATTTTGTTTTTACTAACAGTTCACAGACATGAAAAATCAAAATCAAAGAACAGACCATAAAGTCTGGACTTCTCACATAGGTGTGAAAAAACTGTGGATTCATTAAATTCACTTAATCCTACCCCACATGAAGCCCTTTAAAATGTTCAAAGTTTTTTCACACCTTTTGCTCATGTCTTATAAGTGGGGTTTATCCCCCATCAGCTGACAGTGTGTTTTGTAGACAATTTTTCTTTTATTGCTTTGAACCAGCCATAGCAAAGACAAATAGGGTTCATTTGAACCCTATCTTCTTCCTTATGGATGTTTTTTTTCTTTTCTGAAAACTCAACATGGATCAAAAGTGCCACCCAGGGAGGACTGCCCCCCAGGATTATGCTACTGGGTCACAGTGGTGATGATGAGGTGATGATGATATCGAGGTGATTGGCATTGGGAGCCTGTTGATGTTAAATCTTGACTGTTGGCCACATTCCATTTCTGAAGAGTTGGGTGAGGATTAGTGGTAGTTGGGCTAAGCAATCATGTCAGCAGGTGGCTTTTGACTGGCAACTGTGTTGGCCGTTATGAGGGGCCTTCTTTTAAGCAAATCTGGTAGTCCCCAGGACCATTTCTTTTTCTGGTGGTAATGTTTATGATTGGTTATTTTATTATTTTCTTGGCAGGGATTTGTTGCCTGGACCGGATATGATGTTCAGAGTCCATGCACAGAAAACTACTTTCTTATTTTATGTTCTGCCTTCTTGGTACTTACACTTGGCCAACATGCAGAGTGAATCAGAAAGAGATCTAATTGCAGTGAAGTATAACATGTGCAAAATGATAAGATTCATTTATGAGAATATCAAGAAATGTATATGTTCACTCTTGTTTTACTTCTGTTGAATTACATGCAACTCATTTTCCAAATTTAGACATCTTTCCATTTTGTTGTAGATGACATTAAACTGTTGAATGGCTTGAATTCATTTTTTTTTAGTTAATTATTCAACTATACCAGCAATATTTCTTTTGAGTTCGGACAACAGCAGGTTATCATTAAACTCAACTTGTTGGTGGCTCATCTCTTAAGGTGAAATTACCATTTCCAAACTTCTTTTAACCATCTTCAACAATTTATTTCATTTAAAGAATCTATCTTTAGGATTACTTTTGCAGCACTATTGGCATTTCTAAATTCTTAGAATGTAATGTTCACTTTTTAAGTGGGATAAGTTAATTGAATCTACCCTGTGAATGTGATTAAAACTATGCAAACATGTAGTAGCATGTATTATCATTTATATCATTTTAGAATAAAAAAAAATTAATTTTATCTTTTGCTATCAAATTTCAGACATTAGTTATGGGATGATCCCTATTGCCTTTTTTTTTTTTTTTAACCATATGCTTTGAGAGTGTAGGAACTTATTTGGCATTTGTAAAAAAGATAATTAAATGCAATTATTGATATCAAAGCAACAAGTAATAATGGAGAAATCAAAGAAACTGGCAAATTCTCATTTGCAAATGGGTATTTGTAAAATGTCACTGATGGCTGGATGGATTCTCTCTCACATGTTCTAATCCCAGGAACTATCAAATTAAATAAAATATGGTGGTAAAATGTTATATAAGTTTTCAGAGGAGTTTTTTACTAATCAGATCTGATTGATCAATGAATAAAATATCTTTTAATTTTACAATTTTAAAAGAAATATAAAGTTAAAAATATTTATCATTTATTGGCACACAATGAATTTATATATATTTTGAAGTCATGAAAATCTTTTGTAGAATGCTTCATTCATATTTATTGGTTATTGTACAGAGTAAACTTCACTATTGCACATGGTTGTTCATTCCTAAATTTGAAATAATTTCTAGATTTGTATTGTTAACAAGCCTCCATTTTTTTTTTTTTTTTTTTTTTTTTTATAAATAATTTCAAAGACAAATCAAAAATGGTGCTAAAATGGAATAAATTGGAAATGAGGAAGAGAAATTTAAAATGAAAGAAAACAAATTAAATAAATTTTACTCACTACAAATACATCTTATTTATTGTGGGGGTGCTGTAAAATTCTTGGCATGGTCCACTTTCCAAAATCTGACCAAGTATCAAATCTTTTATTGGAATGGCTTCTTGGTTGGACCAAGAGATTTTGAAGACCTCTTTATATATGAATGTATGAATTTCATAGGCAACAATTTTTATTTTATTAACCTGTTAAGTATTTATTTTTTATTTTGTAGATTTTGTAACAATAGCATGCATCCTTGGAACAGGCATTTTGGGTAAGTAAAAATAAAATTCACTCATAATTTTTAGAGGTAATAGTTATTTAAAAAGATTAAAAAAATTTTTTTTCCATATTTTTTCTTCATTTCTTGTGAATATTTTGAAATGAAAACTGTATATTTATCTTGTTATGCAAGTCAATGTTTTCAAAATAAAATGGGTATTAACTGACTGATGTTGTAAAAAATTTTCTTGATATATGTATTTATATGGTAAATATACCTTGTGAATTTCAGCTTGTATATTTTTATTACAAATATTTACAATATCTCATTTGATGGTATGAGATTTTATTATAACTTTTTTTTTTTCATCATATTGTTATATATATATATATATATATATATATATATATATATATATATATATATATATATAAAAACAGATATTTATTTTTTAATTTCAAATATATATTCAGGGATCAAAAAAAAGATGTAACCTAATCTTCATGTCTACAAAAAAAATGGTGGGTCAAAAGGACAGTTTTTCCCTTGACACAGTTATTATTTTAACTACCTTCACTCCTCAGAAATGTATATTATTTTAAAAAGTGATGATTAGAATTTTAATAAAACTTGAAAGTGAATTTATGCACTTTCTTTGTTCTCAAGGACTGACAGCAAAATGATAAACATTTTATTTAATTTTTTATTGGAATAATTGGCAAAAGATCAGCTAATTGTCAATCAATTTGTACTTTATAAAATGTTAAATAAGGATTTCCTCAGAGTTGGTTCACACATTTTAATAATTTAGTAAATGTTTATAAGTAAAAAATTGTTTTCATGTTTATTTCTTTATAAATAGGTAAATGATAAATATTACATTGCATTAGTTTTTTATACAGTTTTTAGAATGTTGTAAATATAAAATTATTCTTGTAAATTAGCAATCTAATAAATAGTATCTTTTTGTTGTCCAGTCTCAAGAACAAAAAATGTATAAATTCATTTACATCATATGTTTAGGTTTTATTACAATTCTAATTATTGCTTTTTTAAAACAATGAACATTGCAGAGGTGTGAAGGTAATTAAAATAATGGGGAAAAAACGTTCTTTTGACATACTGTTTTTTTGCAGGCATGTCATTTTAAAAATCACAGGAAAAATTTGAGAATAGTTAAAAGGATATTAGGAAGGAAATTGGATTAATTAGGAAGAAAATATCTGAAGAATCTAATGTTGCAAAGATAAACAGAAAATAAGCAGAATACTAATAACATTAGTTAAAGATATGAAAGCAACTAAATTACTACCTCATTACAAAGAAACATGTAAGTTGGGTAAAGAAGTACACAAAAAACTCAATTTTTTGTAGTAATTTTTGTTATGATGATCAAACTTAGTAGCTATAGATATTCTATATACACTGATTCAAAGTTGTCTGTGAACTATAGTCATAGCTCTCTTTATGCTAATTACCTGTTAGCTAAACCAATTCTATTACATCTCCCTGAATCTTTTGGGTTTCATGCCCTGCATGGATCTATGGTTTCTCCTAAATTCCCTACCCATCTCACTGGTTTCATGAGTATTTCTCATTATGAGGGACCTTGATCTAGTTCTTTTATTCTCAGTGTCCCATGTTTCATACTCCGAGTCTTCCGAAAGACTTTGATCGTCCATTGATTCCACTGCCCTGCTTTCTTGTTCATCTACATAGTCATTTGAACTAGCTTTGCTTTGTACTTTCTTGTAATTTTGGCTAGCTCTTAACTGGTCTGAATGGGCAACAATATTTTTACAATTCATGCATATTAATGCCATGTTGTATCCTTTTTGCATTATGAAATTCACCTTTTCCAGCTCATTTTCTTTATTTCTTTTGTACCATATATTTTCATTAATAGAGTAAGACATAGGTAAAGAAGTGCTAATCTGTCTGACCATTAATGCAGACAGGCTCTCTAATCTGTCAGCATGTGGTATCCTGGTAGGAAAGTTTCAATTTTTTCTTGCTGAGAAGAAAATGCTTTCAATCCTATCTTTATTGTTTAGACCATTCGTTCAGTAATCCCATTTGATTGAGGGTGGTAAGGAGGTGTTTTATATGGGACAGCCAATCTTCCTTAACCACGAGCATAGACTTTTGTCACAGAATTAGGGAGAATTATCAGTTACTAACGTTTTTGGTACTCCATTTCTAGCAAATATTATGTGTAATATTTGTTTTACAGTAATAGATATTTTATCCTGAACTCAAAACTTTAGGTCAGGCAGAAAAATTGTCAACTAGTATTAGACATAACCCTACCCCATTAAATGAATTCTAGACCATGGTTCTGTTTTTCTGTGTAACTTATTGTGGTGAAAGTTCTTTATTTTGGCACATTTAGGACATTTGTATATGTAATTCTCCACATCTTGGCTGTGTCCCGGCCACCACGCTTCCAGTTTTAACCGTTTTTGTGTAGCAGTTTCCTACAATGCACATCATGTACACTTTTAATTACTTCTTTTCTACAGTTATCCAGTGGTATGATTAAATCCTCACTACAAATTAGACCATTTTCTATTGATAGTTTGTGTCTGGTTTCTTTGTATGGTCTTTCTGCTTTTGAACAATTACTCCATTTATTGTTCCTTAAAAATGATCAGCAAAAATTAAGTTCTCTCTTGGCGTCTCTCTAAGTCTGTATGTCTCTGTGCATCTGTATATCTCATTGCATAGAAACTTGCTTGCTGTTCATATTTATATTTATTTTAATGACTAAACCGGCTCACCAGAAACTCAGCAGATGCTGCCACTAATTCAAAGAAATGTGTGGGCAAAATCGTATTTTTCTGTTTTTTAACCAATAGAATTGCATGAGACATTCAAGTTAGGGGTAAAATAGAGAAAGTTTTTTTTAAGTAGGTTGAGTACAAAAATCAACTGATTTGCAATGGAAGTTTCTAGAAGCTTACTGTGCATTTAATAACCAATCAGATTTTAAGAAACATTTAAAAGTAAAAGAAGGGTTACTAAAATAGCCTTGAAACCTTTTTTAGCAAAGTGAGCAAACATCAGCTTTGCTGAATGTAAAAAGGAATATAGGCTGGGTGATTATTCCCTTCAGCTTAAAGCTTCTTGGTTGTAAACTATACCATTCAAATAATGCTTCGTCTAACAACTTACCATAATTCTTTGTATTTATTTTATCATCAACTTTGAAGAGACTATAATTTTACTATCTTTAATACTAGTCCCAAAACATTACTCCATCCTCCACATGACTTACAAAAAAATTCTAGTGAAGTCCATCCAATCTCGCCCTACATTCATCACTAAAATTGTAATGGGGTTGGTTTAATTAATAGGTAATTAGCATAAAGAGAGCCATAATTATAGCTCAATGGCAACTTTTAGGCACATACTAAAATAAAGAAGTTAAGAGATGACCAAACACCTGAAGGACAGAAAGAAATCACGGCTCTATTTTTGGCCACTGCAGAACCATTAGGCAAATTTCGTCAATAACTTACCTGCCTGAAATTGAAACCTGATGGGAATTTTAGTATTTGTGGAGATTACAAAGTAGGTGCAAATCATAAGATTTGTTTGAATTCCTACACTATTCCAAACATAGAAAACATATTTCATTCTCTGGCAGAAATGAAACATTTTATGAAAATTGATTTAAAAAATGTGTATCACCAAATTCAAATAGATACCGAATTTAAGGAAATCACAATAAACTCCCCCATAGGCTTACTTAGATGGTCCTGCTTACCATTTGGAAGACAGCCAGCTTGATTTTTCAAAAAGCTATAGAAAATTTGTTAACAAGGAGAGTGGCAAGACAATATATGTTTAGGTGTGGCCACTGAAGAAGAACTGAAACAAAAAATAAATTTGTAATAGATATGTTGAGGAAGGCAGGAATGACAATAAATGAAGATAAGTATATATTTGATTGCCAAGAATTAACATCCTTGAGTTATCAAATTTCAGAAAACAGTACTTCACTGGACCTGAGGTTAATACAAGATGTATCTTCTCCAAATAATAAAAAAGAATTGTAATCATTTCTCAGATTAGCCAATTTTTATAGCAAATTCTTGTCAAAGGGTCTGAGAGAATTGAAGCGTTTTCTGAGTTGAAAAGGAAGCACTTATGATTGTATGAAGTATGACCTGTGCAAGACAATTTTTATTAGGAAAAGGATTTTTGTTGAGATCCATTCATAAGTCCTTAGGATTTATATTCCATCCTAGGAAGGAATTGCTGAAAATTACATCATCCAGAATATTAAGATGGGCTATAAAGTTAATGGCTTTTGATTATGTTATAGAATATGTGAAGGGAAACATGATATCACATGTAGACACATTGTCCCAACTACAATTTGAAAAAAACAAAAAAAATTGAGGATGAATTTTTGCATTGGTAGAAACAGATGTGTTGCTCATGAATAGATTAGTAATGGAGACATTACAAGATCCAGTCTTAAGATGAATATTATCTAGTTAAAGGTAGACAACTTTCACTTACTTTCTGCATTTAAACGAGCATCGAGAACCTTTTCTCCAAAATATTCTCTGATCAATCTTTATGCACACATCATTACAAAACAAAAATTGTAAAATTCTGTATATAAAAATTTTCTTTGTTGTTCTGAACCAATCCTTTTTGTCGTAATTGAATATCGTTACTATTTGATCTTTTTTATGAAATTTATGTTTGTGGATGTTGTTTCATTTGCAGTGAAACATTAAAATATTCATGCAGACTTCTCAGATCTGCTACACTATAAAATAAATGGAAGAGCCCTTAACTTATCCAAGTTTTCCAATAGAATATTTATGGTTTATCATTAAAAGAGATGCATAAGAAAATGGAAAACATATTTAAGCAAATAGGTTGTTTGAGAAGCAATAAAACTGCTGGAAACAGTAAACTGCCCAAACAGTAGAAAAGTTAAAATTAATGGATGAAAGTAGTTCTCCTGACTAAATTTTGTTGCCATTTTCCTGGAAAAAAAAATTAAACTGTCCTGAAAGGTTTTATTATTTATTGTTTGTTAGTATAATAAAAACACAAACTGTTTAAGAAATAAATTTTAAAAAGTTAAAATATTAAAGTTTTAAAAATGAATAAATACAAAAACAAATTAATTAAATTTTACTGGAATTTTTATAAAATTCACAACTTTATTTTTATTTAAGCATTTCAGTTAAATAACCTTGAAAATTTTTACATGGAAATACTCTTAATTTTCATATTCTGGGAAACTTTTATCAGACAATTTAAGAATTGTTTTCTATGCATTCATTTTCTATATGAAGAATATTCACAATGAAAACATTTTTAAAGTCTATATAAAGAAATTTTCATTTACAATTACCTACCTCATGTTGTAATTAAATTTTCTTTGTTTATCGTTTTTTTCTCCTTTGTATTTTCTATGTTGCTTATTTAATGGTTCTTTCAAGTTTTTAACAAAAAATTGACAGAAAAATATAATTTTCTACATTATTTATTAAAGCAAAATCATTTTTACACTTAAATACTAATGTTTTTTCACATTTAGTGATAGATAAGGCAAATATCAAAATTTAAGTTTGTCAACCTTAATTTTTTGTTTGGGTTTCAATCGCCAGTTAAAAAAAAACAATAAGTTTTGTTTGTTTGGTGTGTGTGTGTGTGTGTGTGTGTGTGTGTGTGTGCATGTACCATTTATTAAAAGCCTGCCTCTCTTGGTAAGAAATAAGTTTTTTTTTAAGAAAGAAATTAGAATTCTAGAATAAATATACAGTTTTAATCAAAACTTTTGGATCCTCCTATAATTGTCCCCTAAATTCTAACCTAACCAGTCATTTCAAACTAATATTCTATCATCTTCAAGATGACATTAATTTTGGGCCTTGGATGAAAGACTGAGGATACTTATAGACTATCAAAGAGCCCATGTAAAATAGAATTTATTCAAGTATATAAGAAGTTTGGGGTCCTCATGCTAAGGATGGGAAATATTTAGTAGATTTGTGTGGTATGAATAAAAGAATTGTGGGTAGTAGTCAGTGATGAAAGAAAGCATGACCAGTGCATATTATTCATTTTTTTTCTGCCAGTCTGTGAGTGAGATTAATATTAGGGAAACTCAAGTGAAAGCAGGAAGCAAAGAAGAGATGAACTGAAAAGGCTTTTTTGTTACAACCATACTCTGATCATTTGTGAATATCTATGCTGATGATACAACGGTATATAGGTGCACCTCCAAAACTTTAGATGGCTAATGACTGACAGCTGATCCCTCATCTAAGTGCTAACAACTCAATGAGGGGAACAACTTCTTTGAAAACCAAACTAGTGACATTCCATCATTGCTGATCACGATGAATGGGTTTTCCCTCCTTGAGTAATTATTGGGACTTAAACTCAATGGAACTCATAAATATGATCCATTGCCAAAGATACTGAAAAAATGATTGGTGTCCTGTACTGCTCCAGTAAGTACCTGATTTCTCCTCTACCTTTACAAGAGAAAGATCAGGCTGAAAATGGAATATTGCTACTGTATATGGGCAGGAGCTTCCTAGTCTTCACTTTCCAGTCTTGAGACCAAAAGCATTTCTGCGTACTTGTGGGTGACAAATTATTTTCCATCCTACAACCCCTTTCTGACAGATTAAACATTGCAAGCCTCTCATTGCTCTATCGCCATTTCCATGGAAAATGTTCAGATGAAATACATTCCTTAGTTCTACCAGTAATAACCTTCACGCCTAAGTCTGCAATGCAAAGCACATTGTAGCAAATCATCCTTATTCCTTTCAGATTCCATTAGTGAGCTGTAAGTTCCACTCAAGCAGTTTTTTCCATGAAACACTGTTCTGTGGAACTGACTCCCAAGAGGTTGTTTCCCCAATCACTACAATTTTAAGCTGTTCAAGTTAACTGTTATCTTGTCCTGGGTAAGATGTTAAACTACATCCATGTCCTGGGTAAGAGGATAAACTACATCCAGCAGCAAGGCGTCTTATCAGGAGGTTTTGAAGAGTGTGAAACCACCTCTTAATTGCTTAATAGGGTCTCAGCTATGGGCAAATAGTTAACTATTACCAGCAATACATTTTTGAAAAAATTATTACCAGCAATACAATTTTGAAGGAAAAATATTACCAGAAACAGATTTTTGACAAAACAAAATATTACCAGCAATAAAAAATGTTGTTGGCATTAAATAACCCATTGAGGTTGATATGCTGTAAAACAAAATAAACCAAACCAATCTAAACCAAAGAATACATATTATATTCATACGAATCTATCCTAAAAATGTTGTTGGCATTAAATAACCCATTGAGGTTGATATGCCGTAAAACAAAATAAACCTAACCTTCACTGTTATCTTCTCTAGGTATCCACATAAACTATGCCTCTTACTCTGTAACCCTATACCTCAATTTGTTCTTGGGCCTTGTACAGTGTGAACATCAATGTAAAAGAAATAATGACTCTGTCCATTATGTAGAACAAATGTCGAAAAGGGATTTTTTGAGCCTATTGCAGCTCAAAACCACTGAAAGGTGAGTCATCATTTTGGGAACACTGTATCTTCACATGTGAATATTTTAGTGTTCTGCATGTAGAGGATATGCTTTCAACTAGGATTTCATACATACAGAAAAAGGTACAAAGGCTTTAATCTGTTATTGTTCTAGAAGCATTTTTTTTTCATTTCTGAGCCAGTAAGTTTGTTGAATTCTTTTATATCCTTGATTCCTTTTTTCTCTTCATGAAGACAAAATGTGTCATAATAATTAGAAACATTAAATTAGCTAAAATGATTTTTGAAACAATGTCTTTGACTTTAATTTTTCAGGATTACCAGTAACTCTGGACAATTCTGGTTTTTACCCATTTCTTGTGGTGTTTATAATTGCATTTTCTATGCAGGTACGTGCTTTTTTGTTTACATTTCTATCTGTTCTAAAAATCAGTATGTATCTCTTGCATGTAGGTGCCATACTCTTAAAATGTGGCTATGAAATAATTTTAAAATGAAGAATGATGGTAAAGTTAAAATAAAAATTTGTTACATAAGACAGTGGGGAGTATTTTGTTTATTTTGTTAAGGAATAAAAATCTTTTTCCTTTCACCTGTTCAGTTTAAAAAACAAACATTGTTTTCCAGTATTCATATTTTTAAATCTCTTAAAATCATTGATTAATACTGGATTTATTTCATTCCTTGTAGACAATCTCTTTTTTTATCTTTGTAATTCTTTGCACAAGAATAAGTTTTTCATTCAATGTTGTCTTAATAACTACTCATACATGTATAGAATTGTGATTCCGCATTTTAATTATAAAAAAGTTCTTACAACTGTAAATATTTATAATGAATTAAAATTAGAGTTCAAACATTATTAATCTTGGATAATTTTGTTTTAAATCACAGAATTCTATACTTTGTTAAAACATAACTGTTGTCATAAGATTTGTGTAAACAGCTTCTTTGAGTGGGTTTTGCAATAATCATGATTCTCTTTTTGAATTCTGGAATCAAATATTTTATTTCTTACTCATAAATTGATATAAACAATGTGCCAATAAGTTTCTCTTACAGCTAAAAATTTAAAAACAGATGGTTTTATGTTATGGCAAAATTAAAATATTAACTTAACCCTCTTGCATTGATCATTTTTTTTGTAAACTTTTTCTTGTTTAATCTAAGAAATTAAGCTGCTTTTTGGACATTGCTTATTCCTTATTATTTTTAAGAAAAATTAACCATTTATTTTTTTTTTTCAGGCTTTTAGTTTCTGGGGCATTTATTTTCAATGAGATCCTGCAGAAAGCCTATGCTATTCAAGTCAAATATGATAAGGTTGGTTGCTCTCCCATTCATTTTTTCTGGATGTTTCTTTGCTAATAGAATTGAACCTTTTTTTTTTTTTTTCAGTTGTCAAAAGAAATAATTATCTTTCCATTGCCTGATTTGATTGATGTATTGCTGATAAAGTAATGTCTGTTGAGAAATAAATTTAAAAGAAAGATTTCAACAATAACTACCATTTTGTGGTATATATTCAAGAATTAATCAAGTAGAAATAAATTTGAAAATAAGTTTTATGAATAATTGTGGAAATTGAATAGGTTGATGCTTCTGTTAGAAATTATATTTTTTGAATTCCATAAATCTTATAGCATATCATTGGAAAGAAAAAAATACTTAAAAAGTAAAAATATTTGTTTTTTGAAACAAAAACAGAATTGTAAATAAATTCAAGATGCTTTTCATCAATTGCTGTCTTTAATCATTCCATTTGGGAAGAGTACTGTCTGAATTCAATGTTTGATTTTGCAGAAGAAGGTCATAATACACAATGCCCTTCCAATCCCACAAAATACACAGCATCACCTTTGGCAGATACAGACCAAATTTTTGGAGTGGTTAACAGTAGCTGATTTTGATTTTTGTGAATTCTATAATTCCTATAGAGGAGAAGAAAAAATATTTGAAGACAGATATACTTGTTTCTTCTTGTAACAAGAACAAAATTTTAAAGAGACCAGCATATCAAACTAAAATGTGCTTTATTTTCACAAAGTTTTTCCATATTCAAAATTTCAAGATAAAAGTATTTTTAAACCTAATGAGTAGTTGTCATAACTGCTACTCATTTTCAATTATTGAGGTAATTAATTGTTAAGAAAACTTCTATCTTTAGTATTCAACATGCTCAAACCTACTCCATAAATATTCAGCTCTCAAAATCTCACTGTTTGCGATGATGTTGTCATATATTATGGGATGTATTACAGTGGATTGAACATTGAAATCCAATATTTATGGGATGAGTTTGGGTGTGTTGAATGCTAAAGGGTTTATTATAAAAGTAAATCTTTTAGGTTAGTAAAATATTAGTAAATCTTATAGTGTTAGTATTTTAAATATGCCATGGTCAGAAACTATGCGAAACTTGGTAATTTGAACATCTTGTATTACTGAATTCCTCTGTTTTCACTTCAAAGCTAGCAGCTCACTCTACTGTGTTTTAAATTCTAAATCTCTTATAAGAGCATTAAGATCATGCTGTGACAGGTTTTGGCACAATGTGATTCTAGTTCTGGGGCTTAAGTATCATCATTTTGTCCAGGAAATTCCATTTCTGATTCATCTGAATAAAACAGGACAATTTCAGTGTGTGTTTCAGGTACTAGAGCTTCTTCTGTGTAGAGTACAGGACAAACATCAGATTTAAGGTTGGGATATACACATACCATGGAGGAAGCACTCTTCATTGTTATTCTTGAAAAAAAGATGAATATTTGTTATACATAAGTATACTCTAATCATAATGTGTATGAAACTTTAAAAATAGTTCTATGCATCTAGGTATTGAGGCTTAATAGAAACAAAATATTCTTGCTTTATATGTCTACTAAGCAAAAGTGGCATGATCTTGACCCACTGGCACTTGAAATGGAAGGTTATTCAATTTTCTTTTTGACTATTTTGAAAGAGTATTGAAGCATGATGTGCATCAGATATGTGGCACCCATGATTTATTTTGGTTACCAAGTATGATTCCAAAATATAAATTGTATAGTTTTTTAACATGAGGAGTAGTATTTCTTTTATTCTTTTTAAATGTTACTGAGCCACATATGTAGTAGAATTTATTTTAACTATTTTTACATTTTCCTCTTGGTATTTTTAATTAATTTTTTGTAAAACCTGTAAATAAAAAATAAGTTAAATTTTGAAAAATTCACATCTTTGTAGTCAATAAAAAGCTAAATTTTGTTAGACAGTGTAATTAAAGAGTAAATAACAAAAATACAATAAACTTTCTTTGAGAGGAGTATTTAAAAAAACATTTATAAAAAGAAGAAATTTAAAGCCAATGTATTTTTTTTTAAATAAAAAATATTAAATTTTTTTTTTGGTTAAGATCAAAATTGGGAATAAAATTTGATGTGTAAAACTTTGTATATGTGAAGTTCAGATCTGATGTTGTAAATAAATCAAAATGAAGCCTGGTGGTTTATAAAAAGTTACATGTATAAAATTTGTGATTTTTGTTTTTTAATCAATAGAGAAAATAAGTTACAAATGCATAATATTAAATTTCTGATTCAATTTGGAACTGAGTTGTTGCTGTTTAAGAAATCTTGTTTGATAGACACAAGGGTTTTGGTATTTTTTATGAAAAAACATTATTGGTTTTTTGCCTCAAGAACAACAAAAAAAACTATCTATGGCAATGAAAATTGAAATATTTGTAAGAGAAGAAAAAGAAATAAAACCAGAAATGTAAAGTGAATATTCATCATATTTGAAAAGAGGAAGTGAGAGAACGTCTATTCACATTCAAATGGTGTATAAATTAAAAGCTTTATAAGAAGATTGTTTTCCATCTGTTTCCTTTCATATGAAATCTACAAAAGAAATCTTTGTTCTAAATATAAGATTAGTTTTGATTCTATAAATATGAAAATTTAGTTTCTTAAAAACTTAAATCTTTTTTACAAAAGATAATTTTTCTCTACCATTTTTTTTATTTTCTAATAAAAAGGATTTATATAGACCATTATTTGGATTTATTAACATAACTAGCAGTAGAGCCCAGCGTTGCCCGGGATGTAACAGTAAGAGATAGATCAAGTATCGACCATCATAAAGACTGAAAAAATAAAATTGACAAAGATTATTGTTTAAGGTTGACGGACACGCATGTCTTAATTAGTTTTTTTTTTTTTTTTTTTTACGAATTGGTCAAACCCAAATTCAAACAAAAACATTGTTTACAATCGTTATGAGTCTATCGATTGGTGAATAGAATTTTATTATAAACAATTGTCTTGTAAATGGAATTTTTAAAGCATTCTGAATGTAAATAAAAAAAAAAAGTGTGCAAGACAATAAGAAATACTACCTGCCGAAAAAAAAAAAAAGTGGATGTTTGTTTTATCGGCTGAAAAATGTAAGAAATCCGATCCCATATATAAAGGAACACACACACACACACACACACACACACACACAACACACACACAACACACACACACACACAACCTGGGTTTTTTAACCTAAGTCACTCCACGGAATCGCTAAAACATAGAGCATAGTCTGATGAAAAAGACGCCAAAGTTTATGAAAACAAAATTTTATCGTCAAAATGCTTATGTTTTTATGAAGAGGATAGACTAAATTTTTTTTAATTATTTTTAAAAATTTTTCCATCTTTTTAGAATATTCTAAATTTTGATTTAAAAAACCTTGTTTCTCTTTGTCGCAACAAGGGGTAGTAAATAACATAGATAATTTTTAGCGCGTTTTTTTTTTGTATTTACACACATTAATTTGGAAAATCTTGCAAAAATAAAAATAATTGTCAGATGTTAATGAAACTTTCAGAAACTATTCACAGATGATCGAAATTATTATAAATATTTTTTTTTTTTTATTAAAGTCATGGCAGAAATATTTTTTTTATTTTATTAACACCCCATAACTAATTTTATGAAAAACTCTAGAAATTCGAGACCATCGGTTTTAGTGATTACAATAGTTAAAAGCACAAGGCTTTGAAGAATGCAAATCATGTTTTTTTTTTTTTTTTTTTTTTTTGGCCAACGTACCTGAAAATCAGCTGTGAATTGTAACATACAAAACTCAATAAAACAAATATATTATTTAGTTTCAAATGCTTTTGTTTTAATTTGTTTTTATGAATATGGACAATATTTTCTGAAAGCAAAAAATTTTTTCAATGAAAATTGAATTTTTAATACAATTATTTCTTATTTCTTTAATTTTAAAAAGATTTTTAAAAATGTTTAAATTGAATTTTAAAAAATATTTTAACATTAGTTAAAAAGCAACATCAACCTTTCAAAATGTCCGTGTGAGATTGTCATTGTCTAGCGCTTTGAAAATTGTATAATTTGGACCAATCAGATTAGCCATGGTAATTAAGAAATGTAATTTTTGTGTTTATAGTCGGACAGTAATTATCAAGTACGGAAGACCAACCAGAATACAATTTAGTTGCATTATTTGAGTTCAGCATTGTTCTCCGCTGTTAAGCCCTTTTACTTTTTAAGTGAAAACACGTATGGAGAAGTTAATTTGAGTTTTCAATTTCAACTGAGAAGGGTACCTACAAGTAACAGTATCATCTTATGAAATTTAACTACTGCTAAACTTTAATTTATATGATCTTATTTTTATATTAATCTCAGTTATGACATTTTTCCATAAATGAAATATCAAAATTAATAATAAAATGAATGGAAATACAAATAACACAGTAAAATGTAATAAATGTACATAAAATTATAGTATTTTATGTACACTTCTGATAAAATTTCATAAGAAAGGTACCTAAATTAATTAGATACCTTTTTCTTATGAAATTTAATCTCACTATTAACAGTCTTATTTTTTAATTTCTTTATATTTTCCATAAAGCATCGTAAACGTAAAAATGAAAGCTAAATACAAAAAAAAAAAAAATAAAAAATAAAAAAAAAATTAGAGCGCTGAAAGTTTTCCTTAAAAGTAACAAGGTAAATAATTTGTTCACTTAAATAATTTCACTTCCTTCCATCCGTAGAAAGAATTCTCCTCCCGTAATTTATCTAAACGTCATGAATGTACCTTTCGTCAATCGTCAAGCGACGCGAAAAGGTTATGACCTGCTTTGTTTTATTTTCAAATTACATTTTTTCGGCGCAGAAGCTAAGTTAAGCTTGGTTCAAAATATTTTAAATAAACAGTATAATATCTGTTTTTATTAAAATCAGTTTTGAAAAATGATAATTGACTTTTAAAAGAATATCAAAGTAAGATTTTAATCTTTTTTTATCAAATCGAAA